CCTCTCGACGCGCGGCGGACGTGCCAGGAGTCAGGGACTGGCTGGAGACCCTGGAGTCGGCGCAGGGCTAGGCCGGGGTCTGGGGCGCAGGGCGAGGGGGGTTATGCATAGAGGCAGATTAGCTCTTCACCCCCGTGGAAGTTGAAAAAGCGCGCCCTGGTTAGGGTGTAGATGGGGTCCGGAGGATGGGGTCCAGCCCCTGCACCCCACTGGGGTCTTCGGCAGAGCCTGCTGCTGTAACCTGGGGATTAGAAAAAGCACAGCAGCATCTATGACCAGCTTTCATCACAAGGAAAATCGTACTGTTTTATTAGCACTAATACATTCTCATGTCCGATGACACATTTCTATTTTACATAGACCTAAGGTCCAGAGAAGTTAATAACTTACCCAGAGTCGCTCGGTGTGGTAGTGGCAGGCAGAGTTGGAGCAAATTCAGTTCTTTTCAACCAACAGTTATGAACGCTTATCCTACGCCAGACGCTGTGTTGTTACAGGTTGCATGGTATATGCTATTCTGATCTTTGTCTTGTCTGTGACCTTTGGGTATCCTGTCAGACACATGCCACTGGTGAACAGCGAAACTTGAAGTGTGTTTTCTGTTAGTTCGGAATTATCTTCTTTGAATCCAGAACTGACATTTTGTACTTGGATTCAGTCTTGCAAATTTGTTTAACAGCCCACCGAGACATATCAGATTCCTATGATTGGCTCTAAGAAAGCACATATGTAAAATAATTAGCGGGTTTTTTCTTTCTTTATTGTTCCTGTAATATTATTTTACCGTATCATCAGCTTCTTGTTTAATCCCTGGAATCTAGTACACTGTATGGCCTCTGCGTGTGTGTGTTTTACAAAGGGATTTTTAACCAGTATTAAACCAAGCAGAATGGTTGCTAGTTGAATGAATGCTTATAGAATTACCTCCTTTCACTCCTACAATCCTCCCAGGTGGGATTGTCTCAGGCATGCAAGGAACTGAAAAGCATGGAGATTAAGTAATTTGCCTAGGGAGCTAATAAGCAAGAGAGCTAGGATCTAAGAAATACAGGACTCCTGATTGTAAAGCCTGTGCTTTTCACTACCAGCCTTGGC